CCTAACAGCCAACCTGAACTTCCCTTGGCATAACTCAAGGCCATCATCTCTTGTCCTGTTGCTGATACCCAGGAGAAGAAGCCAACCTCCACCTTGCCACAACCTCTACAACAGGAAGTTGTAGAAAGCTATGAGGTCTCCCCTGAGCCTCCTCGTCTCCAGGCCAAACAATCCCAGTTCCCTCAGCTGCTCCCCATCAGACTTGTGCTCCAGTCCCCTCACGGCTCTGTTGCCCATCTTTGGATATGATCCAAGTCTTCCTCGCATTGAGGGACCCAAAACTGAACACAGTATTCAAGATGCAGCCTCACCAGAGCTGACTGCAGAAGGACCATCACCTCCTGCTCATGCTGGCTGCACTATTTCTGATACAAGCCAGGATGCCACTGGCCTTCTTAGCTACCCAGGTACACTACTAGTCAGCCAGCTGCTGACTAATGCCCTCAGATCCTTCTCCTCCATGCAGTTTTGTCAGCAACTCTGTCTGTCCCAAGCCTGTAGTGATGTATGAGGTTGCTGTGACCAAAGTGCAGGACCTAGCACTTGGTCTTATTTCAACATAATCTCACTGCCAAGATATAACGGCAGCAGAAACTAAAGAGACATTTTTTTCCACTTTTTCCATTTAACAGACACCCAACTGTTCAAGATGTTTCCCTGTGCTGTAGAACACAAAACACAGCAGAGCAGACAAAAGATGACAAAACAAGAAGGGCAGACGCTAACCTGACTTCACCCACAATATCTGCAGCAAGGTTCTGCAGGCTGTTTCGTAGTTCCTCTACTTCCCTCCTCAGCTCCAAGATGTTTGTCAGCACAAAATCCAGGCAGTCCAGCACATCCACCTGTTGAAGATGTTTCCCTGTGCTGTAGAACACAAAACACAGAACAGCAGACAAAAGATGACAAAACAAGAAGGGCAGATGCTAACCTGACTTCACCCACAATATCTGTGGGTGAAAAAGAGGATACATACTGGCAGTTGTAGGGACATTTTTTTGAAACTTTAGAAGTCCTCAATATGAGAATTGAAGCAGAGCCAAAAAAGAGCAAACAGTAGCCAAATTAATAATTAAGGAACAGGTCTAATCACTGCTGCCTTCCAGCAGACTGCTCCTTCACTCTGAAGGCCATATTGGGGCCATTCTTTTTTAAGCAGTGTCCACTAATCTCAAAACACTGGAAAAAAGAAACAACCTCAGATTAAAAGTACTGTTTCCATGTGTCAGCCAGCATTCAAATATTCAGTTCTTGGATCATTCTCGAACCAGATGCTGTACTATAGGTACACCACGATTTTGGAGTAGCTGTGTTCTGACAAATGCTAGTTTACTTGAAAAACAAGAACAACAACAAAACCCCTTAGAAACACAGCCACCCAACAGTCTGATTTATGTTACAACAGCACTGTAAATACAGAAAGCATATAAAATAATGTGAGAAGCTGATGGGCTGCCATTTACTTCTGATGGGAAGGAAAGAAGAATTTCCTTGGAATAAGAACTCACCACAAACCATTTTTTTAATACCTTCCCCCTGTTATATACAGAAATAATAGAAGTTTTGCTTAAAAGGCTGGTAACCTGACAAGCTGCCTTCACTGGCTTAAGAAAGCACCAACAGAGGATGACAGTTCCAGACACAGGCATGCCTGAACCAGCTGCAGTCACATTCAGTCACATTTCAGTGCAGGGTACATCACCACGTTAGCTTTAAGGTGACAAAAACATGATGCTGTCAATGCTCTCTAGAAGTTTACTGAGCTTACGACATACTGTTGTTTCACACATGCACAACATATTGTCTAAGGGAAAGAGATGACATGAGGAGACGTGGAACTCCAGGTCAGGCAACTGGAACTGTTTGCTGCTGCAGCCTGAGCAGTTTTGGTCTTCAGCCTGTTTCAAGCTGCTCCTGAGAAAGGCGGCAACTGGAAACTGGCCCAGCCGTTGTGTAGAACTGGACCCCGCTAAGAAATGCTATTTCCTCTTTCCCAGCTATGTAGCTAAGTCACAAATCACTGCTGGAAAATACCAAAAGGCAACTTTTACCACCAGTTTATTATTCAGCAGCAGCTGGAATCCCTCTCTCTTCTCCTGCTCATCACCACTGTGCAAGTGATCTGCCTGCTGCAGTAGCTGGCTCAGTCCTTCATCCTGCAAGGAATCAAGGACTAAATGCGTTTCATCCTCGTTGATGAGATCCAGGGAATCCCGTCTTGCTGTTCTCACTGTTTCACAGCTCAGTTCGTCCTCCCCTTCTTCACTCTCCTTCTCAGACTCTCGGTCATAATCAGACTCAGCATTGGCTGTGGTGTACCTTTCAGAAAAAAAAAAAAACAAACACCAACACATTGTAAAATTAGTCAGTGGAGATGCTATGCTGGGACGCAGATGGCACACAAAAAAACCCCTTCTAATAGAGCAATATATCTTAGTTTAGCCCAGAGAGTACTGTGCAATTCAAGTCTCCCAAATGACACCATTTGTTATTTCTCACGTAACGCAACCATAAAGAGCTGAAGAAAGACAGAAAGAAAGCCCCCCCAAATTTACGCACAGCTCAGTCACAAGTGCCCACATAATATCTGTATGATTTTATCTTCGGTCTCTTAATATAAAATTAAACAAACTAGAACCAGAACTATTCAGTTCAGTGTATGAATTATGAAAGCGAACTTCAACAAAAGATACAGCACACTCATCCATGTAGAAAATATAATTTGAGGCTTTTTGCCTGCTTCAAGGAGTTTCAAATGCAACGGCTGTTTTGGCAATATTTAGTAGCTCCACCACCTTGTCTGAATGCTAAATACAAAGCAGCTTGTTCACACTGACATGTGAAACATTGCAAAACAGGAGGGGAGAGACCCGAACTATTTCACTTGAGAAGTCAAGCAAGGAGATGGCAGATGAGCCACAGAAAGGCACCCTGTGAGCAATGATTAGCTGCTAACTTAATCAAACAACATACCATAAAGCTTAAAGCGGAGATTCTGAAAATGGCCAAAACTGAGCTCCTCCAAATACACATGGGCACATTTAAAACAGCATTACATATTGACTGATATCGCTGCAGGAAGATGCATGCTTATATAACTAAGCGCTCAAACAATTTAATAGATTAAGAAGTTTCTTTAAAATTATTTCTCCTCCCTTCACATTTATTTGAGTATTTGGTCAAAGAATAAGCCCAAGTTACCCAGGGATTTCAGAAATTTGCACTTCCACATTCAGATAGAAGGCTCTCCTCAGAAGGAGAATACTTCAAATCCCATAAATATTTAATTCTAGATGTTTGCAGTTGTTAACCAAATGAACGGTGACCAAACCACGTACCGAAAACTTTGTTTAGGATTAAAAGCCACCAAGCCTGGGGGTAATGAGTAACTACAGCTCAAGTAACTCAAGACAGAGCCCTGTGCTCTGTGTGTGAAGCTGCCCTTGTCTGCAGACAGAGATATGTGAGCAGGGTCTGCCTCTGAAGAAAGCAGTGACACCCATTTAGCCACACACAGATAGCAAAACGCATTTGGCTATCAAAACTTCAAGTTTCCAAGAACCATCCCTTTTGCTCAAGCATTTCCCTCTCTGGTAGAGAGTAAATAAAAACCCTCATCCATAAATTTTAAGAAGTACAGTTTTGTAGTGAAAAATTAAGATGAAAAATAAAGTAACAATCAGCCTTATCACTGCAAAGCTGAACACAAGACAACAAGCTTAAGACTAAGTAGGCAGCAATGAATTTAATGGATGCTGTAGCAACCACGTAGGCGACACTGGTGCGGGTCTATTTCAAACTGAGTTAAAAGCTTGATTTCTTGGTATTTTCTTAGTAATGCTGCTATCAGTTCCCCAGACTACTTCATTTTCAGCACTTAACAAAAACTCCTGCAATTCTCTTTGCTGCTTACATTTAGCCTGATTCATTATTTCCCATCCTGTCCTGTGGGCTCTGCAGCAGGGATGGTGTTTCACTACAGCATTTTCCTGGTGGCTGCAGAGATTTCAGTACTGCAGCTTACTTACTTCATTTCCCATGCTGAAATACAATATGGTCTTTAAAAACAAGCAACAATAGACCTTTTTTTCTCCAACACAAAAACGTGTTTTTTCTCCAGGACAGCACATACAAGATGCTGCTAGCTTACAAGAGAGGCAATGCTTTATAACCTCATAAACTCAGAGTTTTTAGGAAAATTACAGGATTTAGATGTTATCCAACTGTTTTCCTGAAATTTACAGTGAAGGAAAGTACTTAAATGGCTTTTGTATATTGAGGCCTCTGGCTGGCACACATCCTGATGGAAAATGAAAACGTATTGTCTGGAACTGAAAAGAACGTGGAAGAAAGCAAAGCAGTCCAAAAGACCAAAGCCTTGCCAAAACAATAGACAGAAATTAAGTTCTGCAGCAGCCCAAGATCCTCAGGCTCATGACAACTTGTAATGATTTTTGCCAATCATGTATGAAATCAGAGAAGATGCTTATGTTCACGTGGTTTAAAAAATAAAGCTGAAACATAACTTCTCCCCCTTACCCCCCCCAAACTTCATTAAAAGAATGTAACTGTCAGAAATAAATACGTGGCTGAAATGTATCTGCTGAGGGTAGTCTTATTCTTCTTCCTAGTGGCTGCTAAAAAGCTTAGTTTGTTTTCCAAAAAGTGAAAAGTTCAAGTTGTATCCACAGAAGACAACACTGCTAACATTATACCTATTCATACATGACAAACTGGATCAGAGTGACACGATACACTACTCAAACTTTTTAAATCAAATCAGATGAGACCTTACCCACCAATTCTTCATACCAAACACTAAACCTACTTACATATTTTAAGCAACAAGTGAAAACTCCCCCTAACGTCACATAGCAACATCACAGCAATGACCCCATATAGCCATAACCATATATGAGGTTCTACAAGAAAACACATCCCCTGCTCCACACTTCACTTAAGGTCCTCCAAGGTGAAAGCCCAAGCAAACCTCAGGATCCTCCTTGGCCCTTAGCATAATTTATACATTTCTAATGGTCAGGTGCCACTCAGGACAGGTTTTTGTTGAAAAACACTCTCCTATTTAGCGTGCCTTACAAAATACACGTTGGAAACCTGATGACTGAACACATATATTACTAACCAGCTAGCACAGGCCCTGTCAATTTAAAATTAGCTATGTAGCCTTCTTAAATGTCACACTGCCATGAATCACTCACTCCAAATTCTGCTTTTTTTATGAACACTCAGCACTCGCTTCAGATGAATGAAGCACATCTATAACCTAAAGGAGACCTCATCAGCTCTTTCTTGCTTCTAAAATTGCACTGACTGAGACAGTAACGCAGTATTTTAATGGAAGCAACAAAGCCCGTTTTCCCTCAGATCTGTGTCCTTTATTCTAGGAGGCTGCTACAGCAATGGCAGCTTTGTGCTCTGATTACAAACGTGCTACGAAGTGTCACTCTCTAATGCTCACTGCTTCTTTGACTGCTACCAAACAGCACTGCACACCCAAATTCTGACTTTCTCTCTGTGCTGTAATAAAACTCTGTCTTTATTTTATGTTTCATACCTTTGGGAAAATGGTTAGTGCCAGCACTGCATGTTTTACAAAACGTTTACACATCTGAAAAGCTATGAAATTCATCTGATTAAGGCATAGAAGCATTTAATCAGAAAGAATGAAATATGTACGGAGCAGATCTCTGTTTGCACTTAGATTGGATTTTTTTGTGTGTTTTCATCCGTATTTAAAGAACCTAAGCAACATAAGTGATCACTGTGCCATATTGAAAAAAGTTTAGCAGAAATACTCTACGCAAAGGACACTGTAATTAACATGAATATATTTTAGCTTTCTCAAGTTTTCTAGACCCTTTATAATGTATTTTTTATTGTATGGAAATTTAACTCCATACAATTAAAAAAAAAAAAGAGCAAAAGCTCCTTATCACCCATAATACACCAATGACGGACTGATGCTCCCAACCCTCATATTTTGTATTAAACCTTCAGAGGTTTTGCACCTGTGTGTGTGTTTGTTTTGATCTGTACAGTTGTTCAGATACTCAGGGAACTTTATCAGGTTTCAGCAAGCACCTTTAGGATGTAATCCAAACATATATATACATATATATATATAAAGAGAGAGAGAGAGATCTATATTCCAAAGGTACAATTCAGGCCAACTGGAAGGAAAAAACAAACAAACAAAACCCACCTTCACATTATAAACTGCTCAGAAACAAGCTTTTGGACACCAAAACCTACAAAAGCTGCCATCAACATGGTGTTTGCCTTACCCGCCTTCACTTTCTCCATCATCTGTGTTGGTTGCTCCCGAGTTAGCAGTGAAATAAATTGAACTGGACCCTGTGGAATCACTTCTTTCTCTATGGAACGGGAACCGCCTTCGGCGTGCTACTCTCTGTGTTTCTTCCAGATGGGACCTGTAAGAAAGGCAAAAAGAAGAACAAATGAGCACTTGACATTGTGCTACTCCGCCTCCTGCTCTCCAGCAATTTCTCTCCAATTTGCTCTAGCCCCAAAGAATTCACAAAGTGGTTTGCTCTTGCTTATACAAACATCTCATTACCATACAGCAAAGACTGTATTCTACAGTTAAAGCAAGTCTGACCACTGAAATCCACACAGTAAAGGATAATTTTATCATATGCTTTCCTCAGTGAACAAAGGAATTCTGAAACACGTTGCAGAATCACAGAATCATTACGGTTGGAAAAGACCACTAAGATCATCAAGTCCAACCAAGGACCCAACTCCACTATACCACTCAGTGCCACATCTCTACTTTTCTTGAAAATCCCCCAGAGTGACGCCATCACTTCTCTAGGCAGCCTGTTCTAATGCCCAACCACTTTTTCTGAGATTTTTCCTAACAGCCAACCTGAACTTCCCTTGGCATAACTCAAGGCCATCAT